CCACTTCAGATGCTCCGAGTGGTAGGCTAAAGTCTCCTTGGTATATGGCATGTATCAACCGTTGCCCACGCGATGGCCCACGAGTTGTCTGGAGAAGGAAAAACCTAATCTCCTGCTCACTATGTGGCTGATGAGGCTTATTCTGCAGCAAGCCAAAATTTCGAAGCACGCGATCTGGATGGTGCCACATCACTGCTGAAAAGCAGATCAATGGAACTACTGGTCGAAACGTATCTGACTGGATCACAGTACCTCTGAACTACTCGCCTCTCTCCAATTAAAGACACCACTAGACACAAAAAGTTGTCACATGATTACTCCTGAATCTAAAACAAACAAATGAAAACTATTCTATAATGAAATCTTATATACTAACTAGGGGTGAACAAACACATCGCAAACCGACCCACCCGTCCAACCCGACCCAACCCACCCGTATTTATCACTCAAACTAAGGTTTTGGGTTGGGTAAGAGTTTTCTTTTGTACAACCAGCCTCTTTTGGGTTGGGTTTGGATTTTGGATTACACAACTCGTAGAACCAGACCCGACCCGTGTTCCAACTACTCGTATGAGTTTGTATCCAAAAAATATTTATCTATCTATATATCTATCTCTATCTATCTATCTATCTATCTATATCTATCTATCTATCTATCTATCTATCTATCTATACTATATATTATGGCAATTCAAAAGCAATCTCTTGCCACATAAGCACTTGGAGGATCCACAATTTGCCAAGTTGGAAAAAAATTTTACAAACAAATAAATTAGTTATTAATGTATTTATGGAGCTACCTCTCTCTTCTTTAATATTTTCATATATTTTAACCTTTTTTTTTTGCTTTAATAGTAGGTTACATGTTGATAATCTTAACCAAACACACATAAATAATAATTTTTTTGTCCATTAAAAAAAATATAAATAAGAAAACAGAAAGTAACATATACCACATTTGTTTAAATAAAAAGTATCTGATTAAACCTTATGAAGTAAATTTTTTACTCATTTTTACTAAAATTGAATGATAATGATAAGTTACAATTTTATGGAAATTAGACAAACATACACATAAACAATAAATTTTTTCGATTAAAAAAATTTTATATGAAAAAAGAGAAAATAAACATTTGACATTCAATTACCTATGAAAAATAAACTATATTACTTTATATTTTGTTGCAATGAAACACTCTCTTATTCGTAAATTATATGTCTATAAAATAAAATAAGTATTATTTAGCAAAATGTCATAGTATAATCTTGATCGAGTAGTTATAGTTATTTATTTAAAAAAGACTTCTTATTTCTCACATCATGTTCTACCTTAAACTCCCGAAATGAAGAGAAATAGCATGTGCAATAATTTTATAATGTGTCCTAAGTTCACATTAATAACATTTGTTCTATATCATGTTGATTGAGCAAGCTCTATTGAGGTCCTAAATCGTATGCTAAGAAATTTTCTTTCAGACTTGGACTTATCGTCAACGATTATAAAAAAAATATTCAAAATGACTTAAGTATGATTGTTGACGAACTTTGACTTCATACCCTAGGATGAGACACAAGATTCCTTGAAAAAAACATAAAGGAATGTTAGAGAATCTTTGTTGAGAATTTACGATAAACATCGCGTTTCATCAACTACTAACCTAGACATTTAGCAAATAAAGGTTGGCAATTTTTAGTAAAATAGTCAATTGGGATAAACATATTTATCCAACAATCAAGTATCTTTATCCAGTAATCTCAACTCTCAAAATTGGTTGTCATTTCGTCCAAACTCGAGAAACACGAATTGATATATGTTGTATAAATAATAAGTTAATGCATATAATCAAATGAAATCCACCGATATTGTTCAAATGATAAGACATTTTAAATGCACTTGAAATATGTGTGTATTGTAGACACTCTTTATCAAATATTAATATATAAGTGATAAAATCTTTGAAAGTTACACATTCAACGACCATGTTAAGACCAAAATCATCGATAGTGTGTGCGAGTGTCTTAGATTGAGATTCTAAGCCAACATATAAACAATGACCACGGGTTGAACTTCAAAAATTAACAATTGATACATATTGTATAATATACTAAATTTAAGTGTCTTGATAAAAAAAAACTAACACCCAAAATGGAATTGAGTCGAGATTATAGAATTTAATCATCACGAAGGCTACGGTGTGTGTCAAGTTTCAATATGGATGAATAAATTGATCCAATAATGAAGTATCTTTACTAAGAATGTCTCACTAAAAAGTTCTAATCTTTACAACATTGGTCAAGAGTTCGTCCAAACTTGAGGATCATGAATGTGTATTGGATTTCCAAAGGACCTAAAATCTCAATCCCTTTCGGGGGCTAAATACCTCTGATCACAACTATAGGTGTCAAAGAAGAATGAAAAGAAGCCAAAAAAAAAAAGAACATATAACCTCTGATACGATGAACAGAATAAAACCATATCGAGCTATGATCCTTTCATCCCTACCATTTTATTCTCCATAAAGGGGGGCGGCGGGAAGGGATAAGAAATAAATAGCATCATCTTAGAATTTCCCTCTTTATATATTACATATCAAACGATAGACAACCTCAATGGTTGTCTGACGTTATGGGGTAAAAGCGGGATCTCTATCCCTAGGGTGGGGGATAGGCGAGTAGCACTTTTAATATATATGGGGAGTTCTACAATACCCAGGGTGAAATCCGGGGTACCGCATACCATGAGCAAGAAAACGCTATCCAGAACTTAAATTGACTGATCTTTCGGACATGATACTATACTCTAATCCTTAAAGATCAAAATCTAGGTATTAATTCTCTAAATATTATACCCCAAGATCAATTTAATTAGAAGGAATAATCGACGGTTATGATTCGTCCAAATATAGGCAAAAAATCAATGCACCATCTTAGAGTTTATAGTTTATGATTTAGATAATTAGGACATAGGGTTCACTCATTAAGGATTAGCGCGTAGTATCATGCCCAAAAATCACGCTAATTCGAGGTCTAGATAGAGTTTTCATACTGAAGGTTTGCGGTACCCCGGATTTCACCCGGGGTACCGTAGAAGGCACCTATATATATATATATATATATATGGTGACGTCTTCGATGCACTCACTTTTTTGGGTGCATTCAGTGCACCCGCTTCATAACCGTCATTTTAAACATGCGATTTATGTCAAAATGATGTCAATCATCACTTATGATGTGATGAACAATAACGCACATGAATTTGCACAAAAAACCATTAAAGATTTACTTTAATTTGAAGGATTAGAGTTTAAAGATTTAGAATTAGGGTTAGGGTTTATAATTTGGGGTTTACGGATAGAACTCAAAATTGGAGGTCTAGGGCTTAGGGTTATCCACTAATTAGTTGTTATCATATGTTATATCATCATATTACACTAATTCTACATCTTAAAATTCAAAATCCGACACCTTAAGACTAGTTTTTGAGTTGGGTGCATTGAACGCACTCATTTTTGTGAGTGCACCGAAGTAGTCACCTATATATATATATATATATATATATATATATAATATCAAGGTATACTATCTTTTCATTTTACTCAAGATACGATAGAAGATAGGTATGACAAAGTATTTGCATAAATTAGAGGTTAGAGAATTAGGAATTAGAGTTCACCTATTAGAGGTTAGGGTATAGTATCATGCCCCAAAAAACTCCGGAGTCTAAATAGTAAAACTCAATGGTCGTATGGTAGTGTGTGTGGTTCAGGTTGGCGTACGCTAAATATTAGTGTTTTGGTTGACAAATTTTGACATAAGTTATAAATGGGACGTGACAGCGGCATAATTTATGATTAGAAAACCGAAGCATCAGAAGTGAGTGTGCTAAATATTGGAAATTTTCAATATAGAAATACTACAAACTCTTTTATGAATCAAGAACACAAAATATTTAGAAGATCCAAAATGATTTAAACATATAAATAAGTTAATTAATATAAATTATAAAATAAATCTCTCCGGCCAACAGGCCGGGTAAAAAGCTAGTGTCATATATAGCCATACTTATGAGAAAATTAAGATACTTCGCCATGTTTTTCTCTCATGGTCTCTCTAATCTAATGTATTCTTCGAATTAAAATTTTGACATAGATTTAATATAGCTATGATTAATGTAATTCTTTTTCTTGTGTACAATTTTAATAGAATAACATATTATGTATGCGTTCGTTTATAACATTTTTAGCCTATTTCAATAAATATCGTGAAAAAAACTAGAAATATGTTGAAGTAAACTACATTTTATTAAAATTTAAACAACAATTGTGAATTTTGATACATTTCACCTTGGTTTATTCGTTTAAAATTTTAATTAGTTATACAATATTTTTATGGTGTAGAATAATTACATATTTTGTGTTTAGTTGGATTTTTACTTAAAAATATTTTCAACCAGACCCAATCAAATTAGAAACAAACCGTAGGGTTTTGAATTTTTTGGGTGGGTTTAGGTTTAATATTTTCCAAACCGTAGTGCATGAGTCGGGTGATTAAAATGGTTAAACCCTAACCAGCCGACCCATGCACACCCCTAATACTAACCACGATGGTCTCAAACTCGTCAAAGAGCAACTTGAACTGGTAAAACTAGTCACTGTGTTGATGGGTGTTTGTCGGAAGCTATCGAGCACCATGTGGATATGCGTCCTCGATAATAGGCTCCCCCGTCACTGTATGCCTTGGTGTTGTCCGTGAAAATCGCTCCCACGCCTAGAGCTTCAGTAAGGGGACCCATCCACCAAGGTCACCTCTTAGGAAAGAGGACTACGTCATTTGCAGAACCGACCTACCCATCTCATGGTACAGGTAGGCTAAAACAGCTGCTCCCCAAGCGAACCGTCCACCTTTCTGTCAATCCTCCACCAAAAGTAGGTATTGTAGATGAACCGTAGCTCCAGTCCGATCGAGAAACATTACACCTCCATCAGAGATAGAGCATAAGCTTATGCAAACTGCTCCGTAGTCTCTGATGATGCATCTGCCGACAGATGATTGAATCGATCCCTGAGCCAACCAATCTGAACGACACCGTCGGAAAGATCAGCAGGAGCATGTCCTAATAGTCTCATACACGTCTCCGACCACTCCTCATATGGTATGTCTAATATGACGGGCTCACCTTCGATCGGTAGATCGGTCAGTGTCGCAACATCCTCTAGAATGATCGTCACCTCACCGACCGGCAAATGAAAGGTCGATGTCTCGGGTCGCCAACGCTCTACGAGCGCAGTGATCAAACATGTATCAGCAATCATAGGGACCAATCGGTGAACACTAAACAAGCCCGCCTCGACGAGGTACATATGATAATATGGATGGTACGCGACTATATTGGTCGTACCTCGAATCTGGTAAACTCGATCACCAGCCTATAGTAATTCAATTTCATGCGTAATTCTAATTTCAGTTCACCTAGTAAAATCTATCTAATATAAACATCTATCTAATGTAAACTTATACTAATTTCAAAAAATTTCACACATAATTCTAATTTCAGTTCACCTAGTAAAAATCTAAACATCTAATCTAACTAGCTAATGAACTTTAATGAAATACTTACCTCGTTTACCAAACCAAGTTGGCACGAGGTTGAGCATGTGCCCAAAGAAGTACTGAATCGACTGGAGCTGGATCAATTGTCGTAGGTGGTTCCCTCGTGGAATAAGTGTCCAGAATTCTAGGAACTGCTAAAAAAATTCAAAAAAAAAAAAAAGGAAAAATTCGCCACCACTGCCTGCTCCGTCCTCTTCCACGACCCCTTCTTCCTCCGACTCCCGCTTGTTTTTTTTTTTCAGAGTAAGACATCTTTAAAAAAAACAGATATGGTTTTGGAGCTCTTCCGCCTGAGAGGTTTTAGGAGGAGAGGAAGGCGAACCCGCTTGAGAGTGAGGTTAGGAAGAGAGGGACGGCGGACCCGCGCGAGCCTAGGGCGGAATCGCAAGGAAGGAGCATAGAGGTTTTGGAAATCGCAGGGGAGGGTTGGAGAAGACGAAGGATAAGAGCAAAGAGGATTGACGAATACGCATAAGACTGGGGCGGGTCCGCTTTATAGCGCATTCGCTTGAGTTTGGGGCGGATTCGCCGTCAAATAGCTAGTTTTGAGTCCCGCGCGAACTCGCTATTTCTTCCCTCCAAAACATAATAGTTGTGTCAATACTTTTAAAATCGTCATATTCATGGTCAATAAATAAAAAAATGGGTAAATTGCCAGGTTGGTCACTGAAATTACAAAAAACGTTCATGTTTGGTCACTAAAAATATTTAATTCCATTTATGGTCACTAAAATTAATTAAGTGTTTCAAGTTTGATCACTCTTCGTCATACTCCGTTAATTTTGTCTGATGTGGCAGTAAACTTACATAGTTGACCGTTAAATGTGTGACGTGGTTATTAAAAAATTATAAAAAAATATTTTAAAATTTACACCTCTTTATTATTATATTTGTTGGGGGTATTACCTAGCAGCTAGGAGTTTGGGCTCCCAAAGAAAGAGAGTTAGGGGGCAAGGCCCGAAAAGAAGGGATCCACTAGAGGCCCTTGGGCCCAGACAAGGGAAAGGGCCCAAAGAATAAAACACTAAAGGCCAAATTGAGGCCAGCTGTCAGGTGGACCACTGCCTGCGGGCGCCTGTCATGTGTCAGGAGCCTGGCAAGGCAGTTGGATGCCTGTCGTGTGTCAGGAGCCTGGCAAGACAGTTGGATGTCTCACAGAGGGGACGCAGAGCATTAAATGAGGATAGCGACGTGGAGAGGATCAACCTCGAGTTCGGTGAGTATAAATAGGGGCAGCTGGTAGCATTTACGCAAGTTGGACTCTCTCTCACTAAATACTACTTGAGAACACTACTCTCTTTAAGAACTAACTTGGGCGTCGGAGGATTAACGGGCCGAGGCGCCCTCCTCTTTGTGTGCGTAGGTCGACACCAGAGAAGGGAGACGTCCGAATATTGAGGGGGTGCTGTGGCTCAAACAATGGCGCGCCAGGAAGGGGAATATAACCAGAAGTCATGAGTGAGGAAATGGAGGTGAGTGATGGAAGGGAAAGGGAGGAAGTCACGGAGGACCAGTCGGAATGATTAAGGGTGCTGGCGCCCGAGATGGAAGAGAGGGAGGAAAGTGATGACATGTTTCGAGGGTCGGAAGGCGCCTCGATGACAAAGAGAGAGCTGTTCAGAATCATTGAGGACCAAGATGGAGCAATCGAGGCGCTCCGAAAGGAGGTTGACGCCCTAAAGAAAGGTGGAGGGATGACGCCTAGTCCAACGAAGAAGAGAGAAAGGGTGGCGGAGACGGAAAGTGAATCGGGATATCAGAGGCGCCCCAGTTTGTGGCGCCCGCGCGAGTACGAGGTGCTAGAGACGGGAGGATGGAATGGAGGAATTTTGGGGCGCCTGTCTCGTCACGGACCCGTGAGACAGCCGTTGGCGCGTAACATACTAGCGGAGCCTGCAGGGACCAACATCCCCCCGCTCCCCACCTATCACGGGGTCACCGATCCGGAGGACCACCTCAACGGTTATTTCACCAAGATGCAGCTTTACAACAGCACAGACGCCACCCTGTGCAAGGTGTTTCCGTCGACTTTCTCGGGCGTGGTGCTCGATTGGTATTATCAAATCGAGGAAGGGCGCATTGAGTGCTTTGAGCAATTCGCGGAGATGTTTCTTGCGAAGTTCGCCAGCAGGAAACGGCGCACCCTAACTATAGGCGCCCTGTTCAAGATCAAGCAAAGAGAGGGAGAGGCACTGAGGGAGTTTTATGAGAGGTGGTTATCTGTGGCTCTGGCAGTGAAGGATGTGCAGCCATCAGTGTTGGGGGTGTGCCTGAACGAATGCACCACCAGCGAGGAATTGTGCAGATCGCTAGCAAAGAGAGACGTGGTGTGCACTGAAGACCTGGATCACCGGGTGCAAAAGGTAATCATGCTCGAAGAAACGTTGGCGGCCAGGAGGGCCGACCGGCGAAAGGCGAAAGGAGAGGATGCGGACTCGGCGAGGAGGCCGCACTTTGCAAGCGGTCCGGGGTATGCGCCCGCAAACCCCCCTCCTCCCAGGAGAATGGACGTCGGGCGTCCGGCACCCAGGGGACCCTTTGCCGAATATACAGACACGCTGAAAAACATACTCCAGCATGTCAAGGAGAAAGGGTATCATATCAGGTGGCCGGGCCCCATGAGAGGGCAGCCCAATGAGCGGAACCTGGATCGATATTGTGACTTCCACCGGGAGGTGGGACACCACACGGCCGACTGCTACCAGTTGAAGACCGAGTTGCAAGGCTTGGCTGACAGGGGGATGCTCAATGACTTCGTCAAAAAGCCTGAAGAAAGAGTGCACCGGGCATGCGTGGCCGGTGTGGAAAAAACAACGGAGAAGCTACCACTACCGCCATACGAGCTCGACCAAGAAAGCGCGCCCGAACGGGTGCGCCTGACTATAGAGGCTATTTCGGGGACAGTGGACTTGAGGGAGAAGATAGAGGCGAATCGCCGCTTGAGGGCGGCGTCGGCGGAAGTCCAAGAGGCGATAGACATCAGTTTCAATAGAGCGCCTGAGGAAGCATGCATGCTCCCATCCATGGACGCCCTCGAAATACAAGGTGTGGTGGCAGGGTGCCAAGTCAGGAGAATGCTCGTTGACATAGGGAGTTCAATGGACGTGTTATTCAAGGACACGGTGGTCCGCATGCAACTATCGCCAGAATTAATCAGACCCTCCGAATCGGTGTTGGTTGGCTTTTCAGGGGCGCCTGCCAGGGTAATAGGGCGGGTGCGCCTACCGGTTACCTTGGGAGATGGGGAGCAAAGGGTGACGCGTGCCATCGATTTTGGAATAGTGGACTGCCCGTCGCCATACAACGCGATCCTGGGGAGGCCCCTCCTAGCCTTGTTTAATGGCGTGGCCTCCACTTGCCATCAGACGTTGAAGTTCATTGCGCCACAAGGAGTAGGCGTAGCACGGGGAAGGGGCGCCCCGCGTTACACTAAAGAAACGGGACGGAAACGGAAGGGTACCGAAGCGGTCAATATGGTGGAAATCTCGGCGGAAGAGGCGCCCCGAGCCGAAGCGGCTGACAAAGAACTTATGGTGGCGCTGGACGAGGAGCGCCCGGAAAGACAAGTGAGGATATCGGCAGAGGCGCCTGACGAAATGAAAGAGCGCATCATTGCTCTTCTGAGGGAATTCGCAGAGCTTTTCGCCTGGAGTGCATTAGAGATGCCGGGCGTCGAACCTGAAACGGCCGTACATCGACTGCGGTCGAAGAAGGTAAACGCCCTGTGCAGCAGAAGCGGAGAAACTTATCGGCGGAAAAGGAGGCGGCACTCAGGGTCGAAGTGGATAAGCTCATGGGCGCCAACTTGGTTGAAGAAACATCCTATGTCACTTGGCTGTTGAACGTGGTTTTTGTGCCGAAACCGTCAGGGGATTGGAGAATGTGTGTGGATTACACAAACCTGAACAGAGCGTGCCCAACGGACGCCTATCCGATGCCCACGATAGACCAACTGGTGGACGCCACGGCATACCACGAGATGTTGAGTTTTGTGGACATGTTCTCAGGGTACCACCAGATCCCGATGGCAGAGGAAGACCGACCCAAGACAGCTTTCATGACACCCTTCGGAAACTTTTGCTATCGGGTCATGGCATTTGGACTCAAAAATGCGGGCGCCACTTATCAGAGGATGGTCAACAATGTCTTCCGTAAGCAAATCGGCCGAAACGTGGAAGCCTACGTGGACGACTTGATAGTCAAGAGTCGGAAACGTGAGGACCATCTGGAGGATTTGCGGGAGACGTTTCAAGCTATGCGGGCGCACAAACTCCGCCTCAATCCGCTAAAATGTTTGGCGCTGAGGCGGGCAAGTTCTTGGGATTCATGATCACTAAACGGGGCATCAAGGCCAACCCGAAGCAGGTTGAGGCAGTCCTCCAATTGGCACCACCGAAGGCGCCCAAGGAGGTACAAGGTTTGGCGGGAAGATTAGCGGCCCTGGGGCGCTTCATTCCTCGATCTGCAGACAAGGCAGCTCCTTTCTTCCGAACGCTCAAAAAGGGAACACGTTTCCAATGGACCGCTGATGACTCGGTATTTGCACATGTTTTCCCCTTTGTTTCTTGATTGTTTGAGATTGAATTATCGCGTCTTTGGCCTATTTTACGCTAGGTTGTGTTCCTTTGTCACATTTCAGGTCCTAGCACATAAAGTGAAGCATAGGCGCAAGTTTCAAGTCAATCAGAGATCAATTGACGATTCGGGAGAAGAAACTCGGGTATGACCTGAAGAAGAATGGATTTCTACC